CTCCACTGCTAAATCCTGATAAGAAATATTTATTAGATTTGTATATTGCCACAGCTGTAACACTCAGCAGTGTACACATAAAACAGTAATAAGTACATATCAAGTTAAAACAATTCAGCTGAAATAAATGAAAGTTGAGCAATACATAATTATATAAAATACCAATGAAGTTATCCAACTAATTAAAAAGGCCTCCACAATAGTTCTGTTTTAACCTGTTTCCAGAGTGCTAACAAGTTGTAGCTAGTCCAATTTCCTTGGGGAAGCTGTTCTATAATGTGGGGCCATCACAAACAAGCATCTCCTTCTGGCTCCCACCCTTTCCCCTCATATCCCAATAATTGGGGATTAAAATCAAGTTTTCTTGCAATATTTGTATTGGATAAGTCCATTCTAGATGAAGAATGTGTCCCAACTCCTTTTTCTTCACTTCTTTAAAGTCAACCATCTTATGTTAAGAAGAATATTTTAATCACATCTTAACCAATTATTACAAGCAGAAACAGGGCAACAGTGAAATCTCGTTCTGTCATCCATCAAGGTAGATGTTAACAATATACAGCCAGTGTACATCTTGCAACATGTACTACAACCCTCAAAAGTCCTTTGTAGTTTTATTTGGTGGGTTGTAAGGGTGAGCTACCACATTCTTCCAGTCTGCTGAATGGGCAAAGATACTGTGAAAAAGCACTCAACAGTGCTGGAAAACAACATATTCCAACAACATACTTGGCAGACATCTGTAATTGCACATTTCATTCCCCATCTCCCAGCTGATCTTCTGCAGATCACTGTTCCAAAAATAACCCACAGAAGTATTACAAAGAAGGACAAGGCTTCTTCCCTGCAATTGTGTTCAAGACCTGGAAACAAAGCATGTCTGTTTATGTATGTATATATACAGAGGGAGAAAGAGAGATAGACATGGTGCTGGACTACTTTATGCAAATCTAGGGGTAAAACAGTTTCCCATCCCTGCACTAAGCTATGAATAGAGATATTATATTATGCAAATCCAAATGAGATCAATTTAGATTCCCAATACTTTATTCAAAGCAAATAATATAAAAATTAGAAATGATAAATATATTAATGACTCGGAGCCCTCAACAGTTTTCCAAATTGTATCTGCTATACATTTTCTACAATTTTGCCACCATGCAAAACAGTGCTCAAAAATGTATATCAATACTCCAGTTCTGTTCTCCTGCTAAACAAAGTCTCTGAAACATTACTGGTGCAATGATTTGAACTGCTGAGTATAATATAATTTAAATAATTAAAAGCAGTTATATTATGTGAATAATACTGGAAGGCTGCACTGCTATTAAGATAGCTTGCTAATCTTTGGTCTAGTGGTTAAGGCATCAGGCTAAAAACCAGGAGACTCTGAATTCTAGTCCCACCTTAGGCATGAAAGCCAGCTGGGTGACTTTGGGTCAGTCACTGTCTCTCAGCCCAAATCACCTCACAGGGTTGTTGTGGGGAAAATAGGAGGAGGAAGAAGTATTAGGTATGTTTGCCACCTTGAGTTATTTATAACAATAATAAAGATGAAATAAAAAATCTAAACAAAAAATAAATAAAATAAAAATGCAGTCCTGAAAAGGCTGCAACATACTCTTTGAATACACTTCTTGCATTAAAAAATGGCTGTTCTAAAAGGGATAAAACTGTTTTTGAATATACAAGAGATAATCTGCATTCCAATTAGGATCACTAATAATTGATTAATTTCCTTGTGATAAATTCTTTCTGTTATGTTTTTGCCCCATAGAGGCTTTGCATATTTTTCAAGGCATTGTATAAATTGAGCAGGAACATATGCATGTGGAAAATTAACTTTTGGTATACCCTGTGGACATATCCTTCAGCTGTTAAGGGTAATGGCAACATTACAACAGGACCTTTTGAATAAAGAGTGGATTGACAGAATCCTGATATAGTCAGCTTGCTCATTTTATTCACCTTGTCTAGAATTTTAATCTCTACTCTTAGAAGTTGACATGAAATTTCATTGTAAAACCAAGAATTTGTTATAGCATTTCCAATTATCAGTCTAACATTTTCATGGCTCAGGCAAGCGTTTAAAATTTACTCCTTATTAAGAGTAGAAAAAAATTAAGATTATACTGTAAAGTAATATCAATCTTTACTCTTTAGCTATCAGAACTAGTAGGGTAGAGAAATCAAATGCAGAAAAGTGTGTTTGAATTCTCTTTGATATTAAAAAGCAGGGACAAGTCTTTAGCCGTCTTTTAGTAGTTTTAGTCTCTCTGTTCAAAAAACCAAAATATTTCAAGATGAACCAGAGGAAAATCTATAGGACTAATCAAGAATGAGAATTAGTCTTTTCACTAAAGCAGAATATAATGATAGTACAATGTACTATATCCTTTTTGAATAATCTTGTGCTGTATTTTTTATATTTTATATTTTAGCAGCAGTTGTCATTATGCTGCACATTACCTCCACTTTCTCCTAGACAATGGAATATAGAATTTAAAAATAAATGCCATCCTAATTTTCTAATTAAGTGATGATCAAAAGGGCTGTATCTGATTGTGATGCTACATCAGCAATTATTTATTCAACACTGAAGCAGTATTATATCTGGTAAGTGATGTTTTTAGAATTTAGGTTTTATTAAAAGGTGTAGATTTACTTCTCCTTCTCCCTGAAACTCATTCCAGAGGATACAGATATGGAATGAAGAGGGAAGTTTGTTGCATGAACAGACACACACTTGCCTAGCACTGATTATATCCTTTTGACTTACTTAAGACTCTTTTCCATTCTGTGGAACATTTTCACTATATATTAAACACCTGCTTCAGTTTGAGAAGGATCTAATCTTACGGGAATACATTCATATTATTAGATATTAGCCAGTCCTAATATTTTGTCCATCTCCATCTTTAATAGGACTAGCATTTACACCCATTTCTCTGCAAATCTGTGTAGCAGGTCCAGTTCTTATACTGAAAACAAATGCCTGTGCTAAGCATATACTCTACAGCATCTTGTTCTGCAATTCTGTATCTGCTTTCCTAAGCCACTAGTTTCAATTACTTAATTTCTTTGCTTTCAAGTTCTAATGAAAAAAATAAAGCAATTCCTCGTATCTGAAATTTGTCCATCTCCAATGCATGATCAGTTTTACTGTAGCCTATGTCTGGATTCAGAGTATCACATTCAGTTATAATATTAGTTCCTGGCTTAGGACAATGTGTGATCTGGTCATCCTGGTCTGTATCCCATGGTGTATAGTTTAGAACAACATGTCACAACAATGCCAAGTCTATCAAACCTGTAGCCTAATATAATGGGAAAGCTAGGTTTTTCTCACTACTGAGGCCCAAAGTAACTGCAGTTAAGACAACATATAAATTGTTGCCTTTGTATCAATGCAGCCTCCCTAAGAAAGTATTCTTCCTACACTACTTAAACATCAACTGAATTTAACTATAAAAATATTCCTCATCTGTAACAAAATAAAACCACCACAAAGCACTTAAGGAACTTTCTTTACAAACCAAACTCAGAATATATGAGTTAGCGTTACCTGAAGCTTGATTTATGCATTAAAAACCTCATAATCAAATCCAATCTCTTAGGGCTTCCCACAACAGCTTAAATTTTTAAAACACAATGAATCTGAAGCATTAATTCAATATATATTTAAGTACATTATTTCAAGAGATAAAGCAAAATACTTTTTTAAAAGCCTACAACAGAAAATGCATTACTGTTATTTCCTTTTTGTTAATGGTCTTGTTTCCAACCTGCCAAACACACAGAAGGGCAACTAGAAATCAGAAACAAACAGTTCCACAGTTCAGTGGCAAGCTGAGAAGGATAAAGAAGATAAAGAGGAATGGATCCATATCTTCTGAGAGAAGAAAGGTAGTTTAAGAAATGCAGTGGGAAAGAAACAACTCTTATAACAATGCCCTAGACAGATTTTTTTTAAACAACAAAAAATGTGGGGTGATGTGCATAGGACTAAATGAGGTTAATAGTCATGCATATTTCAACCATCTAGATACAGATAGATGGGCATTACTTTAATAAAATCCCTGTAATCCCATATTATACAGAGGCATTCCTATTTCTTGGAAACTGCACTTTAATACCATCAAAGGACAATACAGGGAGAGGAAACCGAAAAGAGAAAAAGCAAGGATAAGGTAAAATTTTCCTATGCTCTGGCCCAGACACCGCAGGAAGGTAATCTGAAAAACGGCAGCTAAGCACTCTTTTTGTATGAAAGAATATCTCTAAATACTATGTCGAATATTCCTCTTCTCCCTCCACAGTAAAAGGACAGCTTAGCACTGCAAAAAGATCCTTATGCAGCTTTTCAGAACTCAGGGCTAAGTGCAAGTATAACAAGGCTAGAGGCCTGCCTCGAGCTTAAAATAAAACGGCGGTATTGTTGCGGTATCAACCCCCATTTCACCGCACCCAGCAATGTGGCTATAGTTGTGTGAGATCGATGTGACAGACAAGTACAACTGGCAGATGTTATTGGAAAAATTCATCAGCTCCTATCCCTTATTTCCTTAAAGAATACCCAATGCCAAATTATTACTTACACACAAAGACATATGTACCTGGAGTAACCGATTTTAATTTCTTAAATTTGGGGGGGAAGAGTAAAAAACAGGGGGGGCCGTCGGGAGAAGAGAAGAAAACCACGGAAGCTCTTTCCAAACCGCGCCACCTCCGGAAGAAGGCAGGGCGGCGGGTAACTTAAAGGGAGGCCTCGACCGCACCGCTTGGGCGAAAAGACAAAGGCTTCCTTTTCCCCACGTTCTTCGACTCGGTGTTCCCAAGCGGCGCCCAGCTGCTCTGAAAGGAAAGAAAGGCGAGCCCAGCATCAGGTGCTGGGCCCCCGGCCCTCAGGCTGGGGAGCAAAACCTGGAAAGCTCCAGCTCGACCCAAGAAAGCGAAACAGACGCGGGGAGCAACAGAAAAGGGCCAACGGCGCCTCCTACCTGCCAGGTGGGACAGTCCGGAGTTTACCCGGTTACAGGCGTCGCCTCATTGTGCCGCCATTGGTACTGCCGCCGCCATTTCACCTTGGTCTCCGCCTCCTCCTCCTCTTCCTCCGCCTCCTCTCAACTGTCAGGTTCGTCCATTTACCTGGGTCCAGCTACGACAAGCTTCCTCCCCGCCCCTGCCTACGCAAAAAGAGCTCCACCCTCGCTTTAGTCGAGAAGGCCTAACTCCACGCCGTTGGCGCAAACACAGTCTGAGAATTCAAACTCTCCTACTTCTCCACCAGCGTGTCCCAGCTTGCGGCGCGCGCGACGCACTCACCTAACAGCACGTCGTATCTCTTCCTCTCACCGCGTGCCCCTTTCTCCCCGTCCGCCTCCTCACCGTTTACTCAATAAATAAAAGAACGGGCGCGATTGGAGAGAAAAGCTGGGTTAGAGGTTAAAGGTGGAGAGATCGGCCAATCGGATTGCCGGAGACGGCCAAGACTTTGGAAAGCTGCTGGGAGAGGAAGGAGGAGTTTGGAGAAGAAATTCACGTGCGTGTATGGCTGAATCTTAGTTCCTGAAGTGCTTTCTTGCTCTTCTCCAGCCTGGTGCTCTTCAAATGTATGAAACTGCAATCTTCTTATATTTTTAGCTAGCACTGCGTGATCACAAAGAGTTATAAAAAAGCTAGTGCATTTAGAGGACTGAGTAGACGGCAAAATTTAGGTAGACGTGTTGGATTTGTTGGACGTTAACAAAATTAAGAGTGTATGTATGGACTCATACTTTCAGGATATGCAACATTATAAAGAGCACGGAAAAAGAAGTATAAATAACCCAAGGAAATTAAAGAGATAAGAAAAATACTTGAATCTAGTTTACACTGTCATCGTACCTATTCATACATTACTATCTTGACAATCCTTTCCACCATCTCTGTATTTCATGCTTCTTTAAATCATCTCTATTCTTTAGAATCTAATCAACTACATCCATCCATAAGTTTCTCTGTTACCATTCCTTTTTTGCAATTTGCTATCCTACTAGTATTTGCATGTCTTAAAATTTCTGCATCTGTTTTACTTCTTTAGTAAACATGTTATCATATTCATGTGCATGCTCTAGTTTTTCATTGTTTACTTGCAAACTTTTACATTTACTTGCAAACTTGCAATCATTAATTTTCCATAAAATACAACAGCCCTGCTTTTCTATATATTCATTTTATGATCTATATGCCTTATTATTTCAGACAATTTATGTAACCTGCAAATAATTCAGGTTCTCAGCCAACAACATAGCATCATCTGCACACATGTTCATGCTCCCAACCAACACACATCTACCATCACCACAAGCATTCCTTATATGTTTATCTAGAAATAACTTAAATAACCAAGGAGAGATCACATACCCATGTCTTACTCCATGTTCAGTGCTGAACCATTTGCTAAGCAGTTAATTTTCATACAACTTTCTTCTATCATAAACTGCTCTTACTGCATTCAGCAACTAACCCTCAATTCCATATTCACATGAAGCATTCCAAAATTCAAGCATCTTTGCTTCTTCATGTTCAAAATAAAAAACCATACAGTAAACTTTCTCAGGTTCATAACATTCTAAATTGGTAAAGAGCAAAATTCTGTTCTGCACACTCTGATATAAAATACTCCCCGGTTTTGTTCATTCTTTCCTCTTGTGCCTGTTCAGTCAAAAATCTGCCAAATGCCTTCTCAGGCACATTTTAACAAACTGATCCATCTACAGATAGTCCTTGAATTACGACTATTCGTTAAGTGACCATTTAAAGTTACGATGGCACCGAATGAGTGATACTTAACGACTGGTGTCCCATGGTCACATGATTGCAATTCGGCTGCTTGCAACTGGCTCACATGATGGTTGCAGCATCCTCTGGTCATGTGATCACCATTTGCAACCTTCCCTGCCGGCTTCCCACAAGTAAAGTCAATGGGGAATCTGGCAGGGAAGGTTGCAAGTCGCTCTTGTAAGTTGCTCCTGCCGCTTTTTCTCCCAAGGAGCCCTACTATGGACTACAAGATCCCCTTGTCTGCTTGCACTCTGTAGCATGCGCTTGCGTACAGCACTTACCCACCCGGGCTCCACTGTGTGCACCCGCAGCTTCCACTGGCCCGTCTATGCTCTGTAGTGCCCACCTGCAGCCCCTGCCGGCCCATCCACAGCCCTTGCCAACCCACCTGCATTCCATGGCACATGACTGTGGAACCCCCTACCCCACTCCCACAGCGCCCTTGCCCCCCCCCCCCATGCTCCTTGCCTGGTTCCTCTGCCTCTTCCTGCTTAATGAACATGGTCTTGGGGTTACAATGGATTGCCATCACTAAACGATGCGGTCATGTGATGTCACACTTTACAACCACATCACTTAGTGACAGAGATTCCAGTCCCAATTTCCGTCAGAACCCAAGGACCATCTTTATAGTTTTTGCATTCGTTCATCCAATCATCAAGCACAAATGCAATCTTCACAAACACATTAAACAGATTGCAGAGCTACTCCATAAGCAAACCACTTGTGTATTTTAACATGTATTTTACATGTGTCACTTAACTTTTTCAATTTGCTATAAGTTGTAAGTTGTTTATGGTTTCTGATTGATACCTTATAAATACTTGAACTTTATAACTTATTCTTAAGCAATTTATTCTTGAACACTAACATTTATAGAATTTATTTCTATTCTGCCCTATGATATAGTCATTCCAATAAATATCTAAAAATATTATTTCTTACATTCTCTAACTTTAGTTTCATCCCAAATCAATTGATCACTTCTTTAAAAATTCCTTTTCATTCAGTCTGCCCTCCTCCAACAAAACAATTTTAATTTCTATCAAAATTGCCCTGCACTTTTCCTTCTTTTAATTTTAACTATTCCTTGTTCTTTTTGACTACATATTTGCAACATTTATTTTCTCTGTATACATTTTGCAACACTTGTTATCATATGATTTTTTTCCCTCATCTACGTTCACTCCATCATTCCAGAAAGCTTTCCTTGGATTAGTGTAATACCACACACTTTTGTGGCATTCTGTAACACAATTCATTTCACTCTTTTCTAAGCAGCTTGCAGATCCCTTTTCTTAAATCCACTTTCCATTCCAAATTAATAGTACAAACAACAAAAACATGACAATAAACAAGCTTTTTTATTCCTCAGAATGTTTCAGGCTAGATGTTAAGCAAAAAGGCTTAGAATGAAGGAAATATTCAGACTAAGTCTGTAATTATGTACTTCTATTTGACAGTACATTCTCAGACTTTATTCTGAAGAGGCAGGTATAAATTATGCTGCCTATTCCTATTGCATTGCTCTTATTAAATAGTAATGTTAATTAGTTCAAACTGTGGTAAAGTAGATCTGCAGCATTTGAGGGACTTAATAAAATCTTCTAAGCATTTCCTGACAAATCCCCAAATCCTTTTTAGGAAAGTAAAGACAAAAAGGAAGAAATGCTTTACAAGATACATCTTTATGTAGATATCTTGTAAAACATTTCTTCCTTTTTATCTTTAATGCTGCAAGCCAGTAAGATTTTACATTCACAGAGAAAAGTGGAATGGTGAAAGATCAATTCACCGTCTGTTTCACTATCTGAAGTTCAGCAGGAAAAGGATGGTATGGCCTTCCTGACCTCCCCCCAACCATCTGCAGTGAGGCCACTGAATATAATTATGTCAACTAATGTTAGTTAATAGTAAGAGAAATAAGATCATCATCATCTTTAAGTTGCTTTGAGAGCTTGCTTAGCTGAAAAATGACTAACATGTGTAAAATGAATTTCCCTTTTTTCTTATCAGGAAAGAACAATATCCTAATCTTTTTCTGTGCCCTAAAACGTAGAAAAGGAAACCAGAGTATAGGAGAAAATCAGCGCACTTTCACTAAATCATATGTAAGTTGATATGACTCAAGGGTAGAGTCTTGGAGCTCATCAGGGAATTTAAGGGCCTTTGGATCCAGCAGATCCCCAACACCCCATTTTTCAGGCCTTACACTGCTACTGTCAATCTGAAAACTGCCACTAGTAGCTTTATCTCCACATACTGTAGCTATCTGTGTCTACAACACCAGGGCAGGCAGAGAAAACATGTATCTCTTGAGAAATCTTTTATCCAGTGATGGTGTGTCTCTGTCTGACCCTCCCAATAGATTTCCAGAAATTATGATTGTGCCATAAAGCTGTGATCCTATGTATTCATACAGTCATCAAGACTAGCAGCTGGGCATAACCCAATCCAGCCTGAATTTGTCTTGCATTCTTTTAAATCCATGTCAGCCTACATGCTCAGTGTGCTTACAGATGATGGAGAAGAAGTAAAGATTTTGTTTTCTTGGACTCAGGACTGGATCAGAATGGACAGTGCAGTGTGATTTTTTTTTTTCTTTTGAGGTAGGAGACATAGATGATGGTTCAAAATCAAAGATATTCTGAGCAACTACCTGGCATTTCTGAGCTACTGAGATGTCACAGAAAGATAACGTTTACTGGTCGGGGGAAAATAAGATATAGAATGTCAAGTACAGCACAGTTGCTGTATGAGAAATGAGTAGAGAGGAGATGCATTTTTGGTGAGAAAGGATGCACTGAGGTAGGGAGGGAAGGCATCTGCATCATACAAAATTGAAATAGCTGGACTGATTTTTGGTGGCAGACCTCTAAATACATCTTTACTATATTAAATAGCAGGGTAAAAATTACTGTAGTAGCTGATTTGAGCCAGATTTGGCCTGCAGGTCATTTTAGACCTATTCATCAGACTAGAAATGAAAAGTAAGGGCAGAGCTCATAGTCTCTGCAGGGTTCCATTTTTCTGCTATGTGGAGGAAACAATTAGGAGCATTCCATATAACCATTCATTCAAGGATGCAAACTTTTATGTGAAAACTTGAATTAAAAGGCCATGCTGTTGTGATTTTAAATACTTTAACATTTGAAATAATGAGTTCATAGAAAACATGAAGCTACTAACTAGAGCTACTGAATTATGTCAATCAAACAATATAGTTACTCTTACAGTCATCATAGAGCATAACCAATACACACAGTGCATTACATAGTGAAAACGGTCAGTTATTGCCCAGAAGAACTTTCAATCTGAAAAATTCAATAGTTGGAGACAACAGAAAATGGAAGAGGAAAAACCTGTGGGCACTGATAGATAGGGATAAATATGTTACTTAAACATAATTGGGCCATGCTCAATAGCCAGTGAGGTTGAAAAGGAAGAAAAGCATGCCCCTAGGACTTCCTTCAGAGCAGGAACAATTGGATTGCCAGATCCTCAGAGCTTGGCAAGAGAATGGGGTAATAAAGAGGCTTTCAACATCT